GCTCAACCTGTTTAACTCTTCTCTTCAATCAGTTCCTTCAAGATTCTTAACCAGGTGAATACTGGCCTGGTCCAGAAATAAAATCTCCAGGATGATACCTGTTCTGCCTCTGCATCTTTTCTGGCTGTTCTTTCTGTATCATCAAACTCTAGGGACATACTGGCAAAGACAAAGGTGTCTAACAGGAAGAAGAAAGGAATATGAAAATCATGTTAAAAAAGTTCATGTGAAGTTTTGTGAATAAAAATTAGATACTAGAAGAGCCCCATTGTCCCAGGCTGGGCTGGCTTGCGGGGTTGGGGTTAAGCCCAGGGCCTGGATTCAGAATATTCAGCCTGGTATATGCTGAGAGAGTCTGTATCGTGCTTAGGGTAAGGGTGTACAAAGTCAGGACTGCATGCTCAACTCTCAGGAGACTGGATTCTTTATTCTGAGTTTTCCTGAGAAACTATCTTGTAGTTGTTTATGCTAGTCATACAGCCCTCAGGTTGTGCACAGATCTCTGGCCTTAGGGCTTAATTCAGGGGCTGACCCACACCCTTCACAGCCTCTCCTTTCTTTCCAACACACTTGAATCCACTCTGAGAACCCTGTCATAATTCACTTTCCTAAAAGCTGGAGTTAGAGTGTTCAGGAATTAGAGTGTCCACAGCCTGGACAGTAACCCTGAAAACTCTCATGGTTGCTTTTCCTTACCACAGTGGAATGAACCCTTAATTTCCACTTGCTTTATTTCCTTTAAATTTCTATCTTCTACTTACTAGATTTCGCCAAACCATACACTCAAAGGTTAATTTGCATAGTCTTCTCTCAGTTTCTTTTGGTTAACACAAGCTGGGTTGCAAAAATCTCCACCCTTCAAAGGATTTGAGGTTAACAACAACCCAGCTGGATTGAGACTGTAATTAGGAAAAAAAAAAAAGTGTTGCAATAGAACGTAATGAGATGGCAAAATGAAATGAAGAGGATTCTCTAAAATCTTCCGTGAATCTTTAGTCTTGTTTATTGTTCTTGTCTAAGCCCTGAAGTGTTCTAATTTATGTCATCTTTTGTCTTGAGGACTTTTCATCAGATAGACTGAATTCTTCCACTGAACTGGTGAATTGAGCTTGTAACAGGAAACTCTCCCACCCCATTTTAACATCTTTTTCCACTTTGTCACATTTTAGGCTGCTGCCAGCAGATGGCGGACTCCGGCCTAGGTTTCCCTCTGTGGCCTTGGGCTCTGGAGGGGAGGTAGGGGAGAGGCTGAGCTCTGGCTAAGATTTCTTCTGGCATCTGGAATGCATTAAAAACAACCCACAAATCTGAATCTCATTCTCCTTAGACTAGAGTGAAGGCAAGAGAGAGACACAGGGAGGGAGAGGGAGGGAGGGAGAGGGAGGGAGCGCGAGAGCGCCTGGCTGTATAACTAGGGAAAAACTAGCGAAGGGGGCAAGGACAGAGGAAAGCCGAGAAGCCTAGGGGTCCTTACGGAAGGAAGGGTGTGCCTCTCTCTCAGTTGGCTGTTCCTGTCCCCAGCCTGTTGGAGGAGGAAGTGGCAAGCCAGAGGGTTCTTTGCAAATAGGGTCAGGATGGGACTCCTGGAGCTCTAACTTTACTGGCCCCCCTCTTTACTGACATCAAGGTCCCTCCTAGATAAGGATGAAGAAGAAAGGCGTGGAGGCCTCCACCTTCCCCCTCTGCACACAGCATGACATACCCTGACTTCTGTGGTGAGTGGTGACTAACGGGTAAGGCTAAACAGGTTGAATTCCAGAAATTACCTATGCTTTTTCACCATCATCCCTTGCAGTCCCCCATAGTTCCCAGTAGAATTTCAGCTTTATTTTTCTATGGCCTTCTTGATGAAAAGCATTTTTTTTCCTCATTGAGTTCATTGGTACATTTTAGGTACAGTATAGTTACATTCATCATTGGAATTTTGTACCTTTACATGACAGGTCTTGGTTCTCATTTTTTCTCTTTACCCCTGCCCTCCCTTCACCCCCTCCTCCCTTCCCTAGTTACAAATACCTTATTTCCATTTTTTCATTTTCTCATGTTTTTTTTCCCTATTCCCTTATTACCTTTCCCCTACGCTTCCCATTTCCTCTACACTTTTATCCCTTTTCTTCCTGTTTCACATTGTCAGTTATACCATTAGGATCTTATGTATTATTATAGCTTTTCACACCAGAGAAACTATTCAGTATTTATACATGTGTGACTTATTTATTTCACTGAGGAGTATATCCTCAATATGTATCCATTTTCCTATGAATTTTCCTAATTTCTCATTCTTTATGGCTGAGTAGTATTCCATTTTATAGAAAAACCACATCTTTATCCAGTCTCCAACTGAAGGGCAAATGGGCTCTTTCCAAGTTTTAGCTATTACAAACTGTGCTGCTATAAACATAGATGCGCATATATCACTGTGATATGATTCTTTTAATTCTTTTGGAAAGATACCCAGCAGAGGGATGGCTGGGTCAAATGGAACCTCTAGTCCCAGCTCTTTGAGGTATCTCCATATTGATTTCCATAGTGGTTGCACCAGTCTGCACCCTTCTCCATTGAAAAGTGTTTTTAATGGTTGATGACTTTTACCACTTAGCACGTAACAGGCTGTATGATCAACAGGCAAATGATATCCAGGCACTGCTCAGGGTGGGGAAGGAGATTCCAGGAGGGAAAAGCATGGGGAATGAGGCAGCTGGGCCTCAATGACGACTGATCTTAGTTTTGGGCATTGGGATCTGGCTCTTCCTCCTACCCCCAGGCCAGGGATTTCTTTATGGCTGGTTGGGTGAGGACCTGGCATGGCCTATGTGTAACTCCATCCAGAAGGAAGTCACAGCTGTTCTAAAACTGGAGGCAGCTACCTGAATCTGATCGTGTTCTATCTTTCCACCTAAGTCACATCATTTCTGTCTTAGTCCTACTGATGCTCTCTGCCCCACCATGGACAATCACATCATTTTCTGTTTCCTTGAAGGCTGATTTGATGGAAAGCTACAGAAGGAAGAGCCATAAGGCAGAGCTACCAACTTGGGCTAAGCTAACTGCTATGGTGTGGATGTAGTCTGACAAGGATCCGTGTGCTGCAAGCTTGGTCCTCTGTGTAGGAGGTGCTGTGAAAACTTAAGAGGCTTGGTCTAGCAGAAATGATGCTGCCAATGTGGGAGCTGCCTTTGGAAGGAACTGATGATACTCTCACACAGTGAATTAGTTCCTATGAAAGTGAGCTCCTCCTGTAAAAGAACCAGAATGGCCCTCCCCAGTCTCTTGCTTCGATGTGATCTCCCTTGTACGCGTGCTCCCACCATCCTGATGCCATGAGGCTCACACCAGAGCAAAGCAGATGCTGGCATCATGCCCTTAAGCCTCTGGGACTGTGAGCTAAATAAACCTCTTTTCTAAGTGCCTAGCCTTAGGGTGTTTTTTGTTTGTTTGTTTGTTTTTTGATACGGGGGGGATTGGACTCGGGTCCTTGTGCTTGCAAGGCAGGCCACCTAACCGCTGAGCTAAATACCCGGCCCAAGGGTGTTTTTTTATAGCCACAGAAAATGGAGATGCCTGAAGGAAAGGGGCTCCATAGGTCTGACCTGAGCCCTCTGAACCCCGCCCCCCATAGTACTTGCTTCCTCAGTGATGCAGCTGAGCACCAGCAGCCTGATTCTGCAGCCCACTGCCCCTTCTTTCACTCCTGTTACCCTGCTCTCCATTCTCCTGTTGTGTCTGCCTCTTTTCTTGCTGCATTAGTCCCCCTCAGCACCAGTCCTGCTTCTCCCCTGCCTTCTGTCCACATGATGCAGAAAGCTTATTCTCTTGTTTTTCCTCTGTGGTCAACACAGTGTCGTGGCTGACTAGACTCTGGAGCTAATTCATAAATTCAAATCTGCCTCTTGTGCTGTGTAACTTGGGGCATGTTATGCAATCTCTCTGGGCTTTGATTTCCCTATATGAAAAATGGGGACAATAGTAGCATTCACCTCACTGGATAGTTTGTTGAATTAACTGAATAAATGCAAGTATGTTGTTTAGGTAGTACTGGACACAAGGTAGGTGCTCAAACATGTTAGCTGTTGCTAATATCTTCTTGTCTTCTAAATCTGGCTTTCCTCAGGGAGTCCTAGTTCTGTGGGAGGGGGAATGGTGGGTAATAGGGCCAGTTTAGACTTTGTCCTCTGGTATCAATGGTTTCCAAATAGGGAAACATGTACCCTGCTAGATGCACAAAAACTCTTGGGAATATGTGGGAACTTCATTTTCTATCATCGAGTTTGCTATTTTTCACCAAAGTCAATTGCCTTTCCTAGCAGGCACAAGTTGGACTACATTTCCCAGCATTCTTTACAGTTAGGCAGGACCACATGATTGCATGGACCAATCAGACTCAGCTATAATGCTGCAATGTTGCCCCTCCCATGTCTAGCTCTTTACTCCCCATGTACTGTGCAGTCCTCCAGGCTCCCCATCTCCATTCACTATTTCAATGAAGAGAACCCAAAGGCCCTAGAGGAGGGAAGAGCCATGAATGCAAAGGGGAAAACCCTCTCTACCAAACCTAACATGAGCGAGAAATAAGCTTTATTCTGTCAAGCCAATGAAATTTGGGGCATATATTTGTTAAAGTGATGAATGATGACCTCAACATCTATTCACATTTATTTTTTAAAAAATATTTTTCAAAATTTACCTTTGTATCACATGTTTCTCATAGATAATGTAGATATAGATAGGTATATAGATATAGCAGTACGTTTGTAATTTAATGGTCAAACTTTTTAATGACATGTGATCAAAATGTTTGGAAACTTGTGTTCCAGGCTATTGGAACCAGCCTAATTCCTCACTTATGACATTGCCCGCCATCCTGGAGTGCCTTGTCCACTTTCCATCTTCAAGGTCACACAGTTGTTTTTTACTTTTTGGCAGTGTCCTATTATCATCCCGGAGAAAGTCAGTACTAGAAAAATAACACTGCAACTTTTTTTTTTTTTTTTTTTTTACAGGAATACAGTTGAATGGGAGGAATAACTTCTAGCAGTTACAATGGGGTAAGTATGGTTGACAGCTATTAATGGGGTATTTCAAAATAGCTAGTACAGAGGACTTTGGCTCTTCCAACATAAACAAATGGTAATTTAGAGTGATGAATATTCCACTAACCATGATCTGATCGTTACACATATAGTATACTGAAATATCCCATCATACTCTTTAAATTTGTATAGTTATTGTGTCAGTTAAACTTTTTAAAAATATTAAAAAGGGCATGTTAACAAAGTGGCCTGTACTAAGAATCAGAGGATCAGACTTTTACCCCCAATTCTAACTAACTTGGTTCTGTCCCCCGCCTCACAAGTGCAAAGACCTGAGTTCGATCTCTGGTACCAAAAAAAAAAAAAAAAAGTGTAAAACTGAATTCTAACTTGGTAACAGTGGGCAGAATGTGTTCTCTGTGGGTTTTCAAGTCCTTATCTGCAAAACAAGGTCAGTAGACTGGATAATTTTGTTTTTTGTTTTTTTTGGTCCTGGGAATCGAACTCGGGTCCTTGCACTTGCGAGGCAAGCAGCAGAACCACTGAGCTAAATCCCCAGCTAGACTGGATAATTTTGGAAGCACGTCTCAGCTCTAACATTTGATGAGTTCTGTAGTCTGTTGGCTTGTGTGGGTGTGTTCTTGATTTTGGAGTAAGCTTTAAAGGATGACTTTGAAAATGATCATGATTGTATGCTTACACCCTCTCCCATTTGCCAAAAGAGAAGGATTTACTTTGGCTATAGCTATCACTTGAGGGATTAACTTACTGCTCTCTGGGTGTTTGCATCCATACAAGATAGGACTTGTCTGAAACTGCTTATTTTCATCTACAGAGAGGAACCCTCAGACTCTTCTGAAATTGAACTTTTTATAACCACCTCTTTCCAGTTCTCAGTCTTCACCCTGCTTTCTCTAAAGGAAATTCTAGTGTTTCTAAAGACCCCAACGCCCAAATCATCTGTTCCAAGGAAATGTTCTTAATTACAGTATGTTCTCAATGGTCTCCAAATGTCTCTGAGGCCAGAGCACTCCCAGCATAGTCATTGAGCATGTGTTTATGCACTTGTTGGAATTAAAGCCAGAGCCAGAAAAGCTGTCCCCAGATTTGGGTTTTTAATTGTTTGATTTTGGTGTCTCAAGGGTAAGCTCTCTTGAGCCTTGTTCAATCTATAGGATAACAATCTCCATCTTTCTGTGAGCTTCTGCATTTATAGAAAGCTCATGTGTATAGCAGGGCTCCCATTGTCCAACTCTGTATTTGGCTTTGCAAGAAAGGGAGCATCACTTATTATAATCATATTATGATCATCCTTAGAATCTCAATTCTGAGATGCAATTTCACTGATAGTAGAACACATAACCTTGTCCATTGAGAGTACACTTAGTGACTTCAATAACTTGGTGTGTGTGTGTGTGTGTGTGTTTTTTTTAATTCAGAGCTAGAATCCTCCCATCTCCGGTGTCTCTCCTTCAGGAAACATATCTGAGTTAAGATACCCATTATCTAACTTTGGGGTGGGAGTGGGGTGGGTGGTGAGAGTATAGCAGTCATAGAAATGTTATAGGTCTGTGCTGGTACCCACTGATGTGTTCATGTTCCTACTGGTGTCATGTCACATGGTCTTCACTGCATCTTCTTTGGTGTCTTGGTCCTGGGCCCTCAGGTCAACTGTCCCTCGGTTCCATGCCTGGTCCCCTCTTTGCCACATGGGAGACAACTCATGTAGCTGCCTCTGTCATCACAGGAATGGGAGGAACGGGACTCTGTTAGGTCACCTGGGGCTCAGTCACCCAGATACCCATACAGGAGTCTTAACTCCACTCTCCGGGTGGCCACTTGTCCATCAGAAAGTGAAAATATTCTTACCTAAGAGGAAGTTAGAAATCCTTCTTGGTGTAGAGGAGAGAGAGAGAGAGAGAGAGAGAGAGATGAAGGGAAGCAAAGAAGTTGTTAAAAGATAAATTCATTGATAAATTCACTGAAAACATTGTTGAGTTTTTTTAAACATTCAGTGATCCTTGAATTACCAGATCACAGGGGTTCAGAGGTCCACCTTGGGGGCACCAGAGGAAAATTTTAAAGGTATTTAATGAAGCAGGACAAAGAAAATATTTAATTGGTTAAAAGAGGATCAGAACCAATATTGTCAAATTAGCCATACTTGCAAAAGTGTTATATAGACTCAATGCAGTCCCAATCAAAATGCCAACAGCATAGATCTAGATCTCTCTATCCTAAAATTCATATGGAACCAGAAGAGACCTCAAATAGCAACAATAAGTTTGAGCAATAAGAGCAAAGAAGGTGGCATAGCAATATCATACTTCAAGGTATATTACAAAGCAATAGTGATAAAAGTGGCATGGTACTGAAACTAAAACTGGCATGTGGGTCAATGGAACAAAACTGAGGATACAGAAACCTTCTGAGACATATTTAAGTATTTGATCTTTGACAAAGGAGCCAAAAGCATATGATGGAGGAAAGATAGCCTATTCAACAAATGGTGTTGGAAAAACTAGTTATCTCTTTACAGAAGAATGAAACTTGACCCTTATCTCTCACCATATGCTAAATTAAAATAAAAATGGATCAAAGATCTAAACATTAAAACAAATGTTAAACCTTCTGGAAGATAAAATAGGTAAACTACTTGAAGACATAAATGTAGGAAAGGATTTTCTAAACAGAACCTCAATTTCATAAGAAATAGCAAGAATCAACAAATGGGATTATATCAGACTAAAATGTTTCTGTACAGCAAAATAATCAATAAGTAGTGTGGAGATACAACCTAAAGAATATAAAAAAATTTTGCCAGCTACTCCTCAGACAGAAGACTAATATCTAGAATATACAAAGAACTAAAAAAAAATTAAACCACCTAAAATTAAAAGCTCAGTCAAGAAATGGGCTAGAAAATGAACAGACACTTCTCAGGGGAAGAAATACAAATTGTCAGCAAATATATGAAAGAATATTCAAGGTCTCCAGACATTAGAGAAATGCAAATTAAGACAATGCTAAGATTCCATCTTAATCCAAAAAGAATGTCAATCATTTAGGAAGTCAAACAATAATAAATGCTAGTGTGGCTGTGGTGAAAAAGGAACCTTTCTGCATTGTTGGTGGGAATGTAGACTAGTATAACCCTTATGGAAAATAGTATGGAGAATGCTCAAAGAATTAAAATTAAAAATTTCATACAACTCAGTTATCTTCTTGCTATCTTCCCCAAAGAACTTAAGTCATCATACTACAGTGATACTTGCATACCAGTGTTTATAGCAGCACAATTCACAATAGCTAAAACTTGGAAACAGCCTGTATACCCATCAACAGATGATTGGATAAAAAAGATGTGGTATCTCTGTATAATGGAATACTATTCAGCTATAAAGAATGATAAATTTGAGGAATTTGTAGGAAAATAGATGCACCTGGGAAAGTATAATATTGAGTGAAATAAATCTGACACACAAGCTTAAATATCTAATGATGTCTCTCATTTGAGTGAGGAAAAGTACAAAGAAAATGATAAAGGATGGATCAAAAGGGACAAGAGGACAGATCGTGTCCAATAGGGAAGTGGTCCAAGGGAACAAGGAGAGGGAAAGGGAGGAGGGGAAGGGAAATGAAAAGAATAATGATATGCCATGTACAGGATCCCAATAACTCAAATCAGTGTAAGCATTACATGCCATAGTATGAGACAAATAACAAGTATGACAGAGGTGATAGGGGGACCAGAGGAAAAGGGAGAAGGGCTGGGGAAGGAATTAAAAAAAAAAAGTTGTAATATGTACATATAACCACTCCCCAAGATGTTTGTAAACTACATGAATTGCAAATGTGACTAATAAAAGGAAAAATAAAAAGGAAAGTCTCTCTTAGAGGTCAGTTGTTAGTTCCCAATTGGCTAAGCTTAAATTTTGTTTTACTGTTCACATTGAGTTGGATTTGGGTTCGTTTAGAAACCTGGAATGCTAGAGCTGCTAGGTCCTCAATTATTGCATTTGATTTAAGAGTGAAGCTTTCTTGGAGGATTTGTCCCCCACCCTTCTTCCCTCTCACAAGATTAACTCCAAAGTGTTAGGTTGGGGAGTAGATAGGAGAGCCCCTATGTGGGTTTGGAAACACAGCAGTAGGTAGAGCTTGCTTGGTCTGTGCTTGCCCTGTGGAATCTCAGCAAGCAGAGAGCTCCCTTCTGAAGCCCATTCCTTCCCAGTGGGAGTGTGGCTTCTGCCTTAAATATCCACTTTCAAAATGTCAGTGAGTTACATTGCCCACAGTAAGCTACTTGAATCATGAAAATGGCCTTACCTGACCTATTTTCATTAGGAAAAAAAATTTTAAGTACTTTCAAAACCCTTCTTTCCCTCCTCTATCTCTACTCATGTATCTCATTTATATTCTGCACACTAGAAGTTTAGATCACAGCCTCTCAACTTCAGAAATCTTGACAGTTTGGGCCTCCCTCTCTCCTTCCCTCCCCTTTTCCTTCCTTCCTTCTTTATTCCCTCCACTCCCACCCCACTTGCTTCTTGTGGTACCAGGGATTGAAACCAGGGCCTTCACACTGAACTATTTATCCAGTGTTTTTTATTTTTTATTTTGAGACAAGGTCTTGCTAAATTGTTAAGTGGCTCAGGCTGGCCTTGAACTTGTGATTGTCCTGCCTCAGCCTCCCAGAGTGCTGAGATTATGAGCACTGCTGTGTCTGACTCAGATTAATTCTTTCTTATGAGGGGCTATCCTTTGCACTGTAGGATCTCAGCAATCTCTCTGGCTCTTATATATGGAGAGCAGAAGCACTATACTGCCTATCCTGCCATTTTTCCTTTCCAGAAGTAACAAACAGGAATATTCCCAGACATTTCTAATTACCCTCTGGGGAAAAATTGACCTTGATAAAGAGTCACTGCTTTAGGAAAATTACAAATGAAAATATATGCTTTCATACTTGGCAGTTACTTGCTTCATTGCTGATATTATGGTGTCTAACAGTATCA